GAAGCTTCTGTGCATGTGCAGAAGCATTGCAAACCGGTAGTAAAGGTAAGTAGAACCCACGCCTGCCCTATACAGATCTAAGCCACCATATGTACTTTTACAATCATGTTGCGAGGAGGTCATTGTGATCTGAACTGCAATGAAGAATTGTAGGAATGTATCATTTGATTAAATAGACTAGGATGTATTCTAGAATCTGGAGGTAATAGAAATTTGAAGAGGAAGAACAGAAAATGCACGGTTGTTTACTCTCTTACTCTTAGGATTCAGACATCTTCCCACATTCCAACACTTTTCAAGGCACGTCTGTTTTTGGTAGCAAAGTCACATTTCACTAAGTTTCCAAAAAGACAAGGTTTTATCAGTAGGAAGATAAACCTTCTTTTAGCAGCTTCCAGTGTGTTTAGAAACAGCAGTGTTATGCAAAGTAGCATTGTGTCCAATTCTCTGAACCGTTTTTATATTTCTGTGATAAATAATCTAACTTTCTTCCTTATCTGCCTGCAATTTCCGCTCTTTGATGTTTTTTAACTTTTCTTATTTGTAATAATCCTTTAAAGGCTGAGCCCTGTGTTAGCATTAGGCAAGAAAACAAAACGAAGAAAAGTAAGTAACATATATTGGAAAATATATACAACTCCTGCCCAATCCCCCAAATTTTGCATAAGTTTTCTGCCATCACATTACTCATTCATCTATTATTAATTATAACACCATAGTGGTGTCGGTTTATATGTGGCATGAAAAATCATCCAACATTCAGTTTGCGAGGGTGAAAAAATAATTGGCCCCAAAGTCAGTCAACTCAATTAAAGGGATACTTGGCCAGTGGCTTTGACTATTTCATTAGACAATGAGGGCGGGTTTAAATGCATATACATTTTATAAACTTTGACTTTGACTTATCAGAGTGACAGTCTCACTGTATGGGTTCTAGAGATACATCAGGCCCGGCTCAAAAGAAACGGATGCCTTTCAAAGAGATCCTTCATGAAAAAGCCATATATAGATACATATCTCCAAAAGATCCAAGAACCTGCAGGCCTCTTGTTTTGGCTAAAGCCAATGTTTATGACTTCACCACCAGAAAGACATGGGTAAAACGGGATTTATGGGAGAGTAATAGAATGGAAATAATATCTCACTAAGGAGAACGTTGAGGCTCATTGAAGCTTTGCCAAAAAGCACTTAGATAATCTTCCAGACTTCTGGAGGAATGTTTATGTACAAATGAATTTGAAGGTGAACTTTTGACGCTACAGAAGTATTGTTATGTCTGCAGAACTAAACCTTGCATTTCACAATAATAATCTCAAACCAACTGGAGCGTGGTTTGGGAAACTTTGCTGTGTTAGGACATGAGCGATTTGCCATCATGAAAGAATCATAAAGTGTACTTGTATTAGAGAATATTACAGAAGGACAGGAATTATAATGTGAAGTGTTCAAATCTAAATGGGTACCATCAGGTTCTTTGGACCAGAATGGTGATATTTGTTGTAACTGCTGGTAGCTCTTTAAAGGAACTGTGTCTTTTCCTGGACTGACACAGTAGCGATGCAGGCTCAGGAAAATACATATTTGAAGATATAGTAAAGAAGTTGCAACAGAATAGAATAGAAAATAGAATAGAATAGAATAACAGAGTTGGAAGGGACCTTGGAGGTCTTCTAGCCCAACCCCCTGCTTAGGCAGGAAACCCTATACCACTTCAGACAAATGTGTGCAGCAGCTGCCAAAAAAGCCAACACAGTTCTGGGTTGCATAAACAGAGGGATAGAATCAAGATCACGTGGAGTGTTAATACCACTTTATAATGTCTTGGTAAGGACACTCTTGGAATACTGCATTCAGTTTTGGTCACCACAATGTAAAAAAGATGTTGAGACAATTAACCAGAGGAAAAACCTGCCTCCAAAAGTTGTGAATGCTCCAGCACTGGAAATTTCCAAGAAGATGTTGGATAACCATTAGGCACATAAACTTGGTTCACAGGATGGCCTTGGACCCATAACTAATTATTGCACTATTATTCATAATACACTCTAACCCAAAACCAAACAAATCAAATTTAGAGGGGTTTTTTTTAGTTTACTTTATTGTCATTGCACCTCGTACAATGAAATTAAATGCCATCTTCAGTGTACATTATAACTATAAAAATAAAACAGAGACACACATCCTTCACATTCTATACAATTGAATTGAAAACCCGAAATTGCATTAATATTGCACTATATAATAGAATTCAATATAGTTACTGCCTTGGGATAGAAGCTGTTTTTCAGCCTATTTGTCCTTGTTTTTATTATCCTGTACTGTCTGCCAGATGGTAATAGTTCAAAAAAAGAGTTCCCAGGATGAGATGGATCTTTAAGAATGTTTTGGGAGCTATAAAGCTTTTCCAAAGAAGGGAAAGGGCAACCAATGATCCTCTGGGCAATGACGTTAACCCTCTGGAATGCTCTCCTATTTGCCACTGTGCAATTGCCAAACCATACACAGGTGCAGTAAGTTAAAATACTTTCTGTGGTGTCATGGTAGAAGGTCACCAGCAGTTTTTCATTCAGTTATTGTTTCCTGAGAAGTCTCAGGTAGTATAATCTCTGCTGGGCCCTTTTGACCAGTGCTGCAATGTGAGTGTCCCAGGTCAGGTCCTCTTTTATGATAACACCCAGAAACTTAAAACTGGCCACCTGCTCCACTCGGTCTCCATTGATAAGCAAGGGCTAGATATCTGATCTATTCCTTCTATAGTCCACTATAAACTCCTCGGTCTTATTGGTGTTAAGGACCAAATTATTGTCTCCACACCACAAAAGCAACATCATCTTAATCGGCAGACTCATCCCCCTGGAGATGAGTCCCACCACTGTTGTAACATCTGCAAATTTAGTAATAGTATTACTAGCGTGAGTGGGAATGCAGTCATGCACATAAAGAGTATAGAATAAGGGACTCAACACGCAACCCTGTGGTGTATCAATGTTAAAAATAAGGGCTGAAGAGAGATGATTACCTAATCTGACCCTCTGAGAGTGGCCAGACAGGAAATCCATAATCCAAAGGCAGATTGAATAAGAAAGTCCAAGATCCATGAGTTTCAACACTGGTCTATGTGGAAGTATTGTGTTAAATGCAGAGCTAAAATCTACAAAAAGCATCCTTGCATAGCCCCCCCACTGTTCCAAATGAGTCAGAGCAATATGAAGAGTGATGGCTATAGCATCCTCTGTAGATCTACTTCTTCTGTATGCAAACTGGTGTTTATCAAATGTATGCGAAAGATCAGAAATGATGTGCCGGCAGGCCAATTTCTCAAAGCACTTCATGATAATAGGAGTGAGTGCCACTGGTCTGTAATTGTTGAGGTTATTGATAGGGAACTTCTTTGGCAGCAGAACAATGGTGGAAGCCTTCAAACAAGATGGAATAGTGGACTGGGATAAAGACCGATTGAAGATCCTGGTAAAGACTCCAGCCAACTGATCAGCACAGTCTTATTTTTGTACAATGACTGTGTCCAGTCAGCATCCCTGAGCCTAATCTACTTCACAAGTTGTTGTGTATGTATGTATACACACACACACACACAAATATATACATATATATATACACACACACATATATATACATACATACATACATACATACATACATACATACATACATACATACATACAAGTTCCCATTTGGAAGAGTTTCCTTGGGTGTAGACTTTTTTTTTTAAAGTTTGTGTTTATGTCATCTTTTCCCTTGAACAGTTAAAGATCATCTTGTTCATCTGTAACTGGATACCTTGCCAAAGCTGCTTTGCTTGCCAATCGGTCTGGATGACGCTGGGATCTTATCAGGCAGCGGTACTGGCAGAGGGTGGTTACATAAAAGAGAGAAATTTGCTGCTCCTTCCCAGTCTGGCACTTGAAGTATAATGACAATCTAGAATACTGCAAGGAAATACCTTGCAAAAGAATAGAACTGGAGGGTAAATTAAATCAAACAAGAAACAAAAAGCACATGACATGTGGTCTAGCATTAACTGACCTGGGACTGTATATTCATTGATGCAGTGCCCCAAAGAATGGGTACCCTTCCACTTTTCCCCAAAGAATCCTAATTTGCCCTGAGATAACTTTCAACTGACACAAATAAATGGCATCCACCATTCCATTCTTTCTTCCATAATCCATGGAGCAGATACTTTGATTCTGATATAGAGGTGACATATTCTTGTAAATAAGGGGAAAGATGGAGGGATACCAATACTTTTGGCTACATCTGTAGGCAGGCCTGGCTGCTTCTACTTTAGATGCCACCAGCCTTTCCTACCTACAGTCTTCAAGATTCCTTGGGCCAGTTTTCTTGGGCAAGTTGAAGTAGTATGGACTCTTAACTCTCAGAATGCTGACTGGGGAATTCTGGAAGATGAAGTCCATACAATTTTAAGTTTCCAAGGATGAGAAACACTGCCTTCGGATCTCAATTCCTTATTAATCTTAGCTTGGCTCTCTGTTAGAGGCTTCACCGTATCCTGTACCCAGTCTCTCTTGTAATAAACTTGTCCATTTTGTTTAGACCAGGGATCTGCAACATTAAACACTCAAAAAGCCATTTGGACCCGTTTCCCACAGGAAAAAAAAAAAAAAAACACTGGGAGCCACAAAACTCTTCCTGTGCTGACTATTTCTTGAGTGGCCACAAAACTAGCATATGTAGTTGAATTAAACATTCTATTTTCTTCTGAAACTTTTCTTTTCTTGGATTTATCTATGATTGGCCTACCAGGGATTGAAAAGCTCAATAAATTGTGTGCCGGCGGGTGTCACACATTGGTGGTTGTGATGCATATTTTGAGTGACGGAGCCGCAGCAGAGGAGTAAAAGAGCCATATGCGGCTCCAGAGCCGCAGTTGCTGACCCCTGGTTTAGACTGAGGTTTGCCTCTTCCTATTGTTAACTCGGGCCTGACAAGAACAGGAAATGTTTATGTTGCTTTGACAGGAATGCTGCAGAATGGAAAGAAGTTTGATTCCTCCCGAGATCGAAACAAGCCTTTCAGGTTCAAGGTTGGTAGACAAGAGGTCATTAAAGGATTTGAAGAAGGAGCTGCACAGGTAAGAGAATTTATGTTTTCCGAATAGAAAAAGCCAGAGTAATCATGCTAACAGTGTCATAAATGAAAGAGGAAAAAAAAGGTATGAATTTAGAATCTCTGCAATGTGTGTGTTGGTATGTTAAAATTAGTATAGGCAGGCAAACAGCTCTAAGGCATATTTACTTTTAAGTAAATCCAGTGCACTCAACAGGACGCTTCAGATAAGCATTAGATAACCCTAACATTTTTTTTATTTTTTATTTTTATTTTTTGCTTTTTTCCTTGGGTTTTCTGCTCAGGTTCTCCTCTTATATAATTTCCTCCTTTTTTTTTTTATTTGATTTATATGCCGCCCTTCTCCGGAGACTCAGGGCGGCTTACAATGCGTTAAGCAATAGCCTTCATACTTTTGTATATTTATACAAAGTCAGCTTATTGCCCCCACAAACTGGGTCCTCATTTAACCTACCTTAGAAAAGATGGAAGGCTGAGTCAACCTTGAGCCTGGTGAGATTCGAACTTACAGTAATTGCAGACAGCTGGTGTTAATCACAATGTTTTTTGTCTGTTGAGCCACCAGGTCCTTTTGTTCCTATGATTGTTTGATTTCACCCCTGATTCTACTTTTGGGATCACAATTTCATATGAAACACTTCTGAAGAGAATAAAACGTAAGCTTAGAAACTGAATCATCCAGCACCATTTCTGCATCCCTAAAGTTTTCCATCCCTAAAGTTTTACAAGTGCCTTATGAATTTAGGGCATTCTGTACTAATTGAGAGAAGTTAACTAAGTTGACAGCAGCCGAGTATTTACTCTGCCTAATACAGGGGTGTCAAACTCCCGGTCCATGGGCCGGATGTGTCACATGCTGGCCCCAGCCCAGCCCGGTTTAGCGAAGGGGGAAAAAGTCCCAATACATCACATGACGACGCTGTGACGACACGAGTTTGACACCCCTGGCCTAACATGAGCTGCCCTGCTTCCCACTTTCTTTATGTAGGTAACTTAGAATACCTTCTTCTACAAGGAAGTAAGGGGCCTATTTAATCTTGTTAGGATTTATATAAGAGCAAGCTGCTTAGTCACTTCTGTAGGTGTTTGCTTCTAACAGCTACCTGTTATCTCCACCTAGTGGTTTGTTGTATGCAAAATTAAATTTAAATGAATATGCCTCACAAAGATAAAATCTCCTTTCTGTCAAGTGGTCAATTTTTTTTGGCAATAATACAGGTAGTCCTCGAGTTATGACCACAACTGAGCCCAAAATTTCTGTTGCTAAACAAGGCAGTTTTTAATTAAGTTTTGCTCCATTTTACCACCTTTTTTGGCCACCGTTGTTAAGCGAATCACTTTAGTGGTTAAGCGAATCTGGCTTCCCCCATTGACTTTGCTTCTCAGAAGCCGGCTGGGAAGATTGCAAATGGTGATCACATGACTCGGGACAGTGCAACCGTCACAAAAACATGCCAATTGATCAGGTGACCATGGGGATGCTGCAATGGTTATAAGTGTGAAAACTGGCTACTTCAGTGTCGTTGTAACTTCGAATTGTCACTAAACAAATGGCAGAAAGTCAAGGACTATCTGTATGGCAGTGCTTTCCCATTGTCTGTTTAGTGAGGCTTTTTTTTTTCAAATTCCTAGCCAAACAGGAGCATCCACTGAAACTTACTACTTTTATCAAAATGATGAAGGGAACATTGCAACTAACTTAGGCTGCTGTCGTAAACCTATTCATTTTGACTGCTTCCTTTGTTGCTTAATCCTAAACTTCAGGTTTATTTTTCTTTGTATCCCACCATTATTTTTACAAAATACTCAAGGGACAAACAAATATCCAACATACCTTCCTCCTTTTATTTTCCCAACAACAGCAGCCCTGTGAGGTGAATTGGGCTCAGAGAGAGGAAGTGGTCCAAAATCACCCAGCCAGCTTTCATGCCTAAAAGGACTAGAACTCACTTATCTCCCAATTTCTAGCTGGGTGCCTTAATCACTAGAGCAGACTGACTCAGATGGACTACCAAGTGTTTATTGAAGTATATTATTGCATCAATTACCCTCTTCCAGCAGAACATTCATCTGAGAATTTGAAAATACTTTTATTGGGATCGAGTAGCCTTTCTTATCATTCTGTCAATTGCTATATTATTCCTGTATTATTTGAACCTGAACGTTGGGCTGATGGATGAATAGGCATGAGATTCTGGTCTAGGGACAGTGGAAATAAGGCTTTAAGAATCCTACATATTTTTTTGGCTTACAAGTTTGAAGTATTTTTTGGTTCAAAATGGTAGGAAATAAATTTGGTGATATGAATTGCATTTTGATCTCATGATTTGAGGTATAGAACTTTGTTATTGTCAGTTTTAAAACTTGTTACATCCTGGGACATTGGGCTCTCAACCTTTTTTAAAAACTCTTTCTTCTCTCTTTTTCATACCATCTAATGCCAGATGAGCCTCGGACAAAGGGCAAAGCTAACCTGTACACCTGATATGGCATATGGAACAACAGGCCATCCTGGAGTTATCCCACCAAATGCTACATTGATTTTTGATGTGGAGCTGCTCAGGATAGAATGAAATTTGGACTAGTAATTAGAAAAAAATCTGTTAATCAGTGCTCTTTCCCCATTCTCTTTAATGGAAGAAATCTCACTGAAATTTCTATCTTCACTCAAGTTGTCATGCCAATAATGCTTATGAAGTTGTTTTCCCTACTTCCTTTCCCTTTTTTTTTAAAAAAAAACAAAACTGATTATTGGTATTTGTTCAGTTAGTTGCTTCTTTGCTATGGAAGTTGTACATTTTATTTTGCACGTGAAGCTTCAAAATTGTGATTAGAATTATATATATAATTGAAAGTTATACTGTATACAGATTTTACTTATTGAACAATCACTGCCTTATAATCCATAAAGGAACATCGGTGCTCAGAAAACAAGTGTACGCCATGTACACAAGTGGGCATTAGCCAAACCAAGTTACCTGCGCTGCCACTTTTTTCTCAAGCTGTTCCACTTGCAGCTGTTTTAATTAACACATCATGTGAAAACTTTCCAGAAAAATAAAATATTGATATTTTATCTCTGTTGCCTTTCTCGTTTTAAACTACCGTTGAGCCAATACAAGGATCTATTCTGTTGTTTCTGTTGTTGAATGGATCAATCTTAACCAACCAAAATCATGCAGTCCATAAATACAAAAGCTTAATTTGAATTATGCAAATTCCCTATCAATACACTTCAAAGTCTGCATATCAAAGGTAAGAATTTCCAGATCATCTGAGGGTTTACAGAGCAATCTGCTCCAAGTTCCAGTTTAGTTGTCCTCTTCTTTAGATTAAGGAACTTAATCTAAAGGTAGCACTTGCTGAAGTGGGAATTTACACCTCAAAGAAAAAAAGATGGCATCCTGAAGAAAGAATAGTACCTTTTGCTTCTGGAATCTTCCCCATAAACTGGTTCTTTTCTCTTGAATAGAAGTTGGGATGTATTCATTATACTGAGACATATGGTTTGGTTTAGCTTAAAATGAATGTGAAGGAGGGAGGTGGGCACAAAATTGTGTAATATATGTCTGGTGACCGATTCCTCATGGCACTTCTTAGTACAAGTAATGTATTAGTTCTAGTAGAAATGGGAGAGTGGAAGGGTCAATCACAGTTGTGAACATAAAAACTTAATCAACTATATTCAAAATAGGTCATTGCTCAGTCTTGATATACATGTAAGCTCAAACCCACCCAGTTTGAGTATTCAAACCTACCCACTCCCTAAGTATGAGGAGTAGAAACCACTTTCAACTTTTAATCTTAGACTTATTTCTCAAGCTTAGGTTCCTAGAATTTATATCAACATAAACCTGTGCATATGCTGTCAAAATTAGACATAAGCTGAGAATCTGGACATTACTCTTTTTAAGACAACCCAAATATTAAAATTCACATGTTTTAACTCCCTAGACCAGGACTGTCAAACTCTCGGCCCGTGGGCCTGACGCGTCACGCGCTGGCCACAGTCACGCCCAGTTTAGCAAAGGGGGAAAGTTCCGATACGTGACGTGACATTGTGATGCTGCGAGTTTGACACCCCTGCCATAGACCTTTGTATTATATGTTGTATTATATCTATTATATAGATTAAAGGGAACTGTATTTTTTTCCATTATTTATATTAAAGGATGACAAAGTGTTGCTACAAAAGCAAGTGAGAAATGTACTGCATTTATACTATGTTAACTCTTCCATATCTTTTAGCTATTTGTACAGTGATACTAAGCTGCAACAATCTTGAGTAATCTTATACAGTATACCTCCAGACAGTTGCTTCCCATTTCGTTCTAATTATTTCACCTCACCCAGAAAACTAGACCAGAAATAGGATCCTTAAAGCAGACTAATGAAAGGTCAAGCCTCTGGTCTGGTTTCATAAGTTGTAAGAATTTTGGATCCAGCATGTCTGTGACCCACTAGTGCATGGTATGGAGCAAGATGTATGTTGTGTTATTGCAAACAACCCAATCTAAGGTACAACCACTATTTAGATATTTGAATCATATCTATGAATTTCCAAACTTCTCAGTGATATCAAAATGCTGGAATGGGACTACTCCTCACGGCCAACTTACCACAGGACAATTCATCACAGGATAATTCAAGGGTGGGACAAGTAAAATTTCAGCTTACCCAGCATTGAGGATTTCTAGCTTGAGAAAGTTCAAACCTAAAGCTTTTCAGTTTTGACTTTGAAAAAATCTGAAAAAACAGCACACAGCCACAAAAGCCTTTTTAGAGCATAAGTAAAATGGGCCTGGGTATTTATTCAAAGAGCACTACAAAAACCAAAAATCAAAATAGCACAAAATTGGGTATGTAGCAAATCATATTACCTTAAACAAATGTAGTATCATTTAGTCAGAATATCACATAACTGTTCTCTTAAAGACCCAATAAGCTCACTTTATTAAAAAAAAAATTATTTCTAAAAAATAAAGACATTATACAAGATTTAACCAAATATTTAACCTCTACTGTATCTGATTGCAAGTGTTATCCCCCACTTATAAAACAAAAGCTATCCAATAGCAAAACTGAACATTTCTGTACATTTTAGCAAAGAAAATTCAGATTGCATGTCTGCACAACCCAAAACTCTTTTTGTTATATAAGCAGTTAATGTCATCAAGGTTTATTTTTTTCAATGCTGTCAGATTCTTGGTCCAGCACATTGCAACAGAAGAGACACAGAAGTGGGTCTCTGCAGGTCAGCTATGGAACTCTCAAACAACAGTTCTGAACCACTTGGGACATGACAACCTTAAACTGACATTATTGTGTAGGAGTACATACAAGATAAACTTCCAAGGATTTTTCACTTCCTCACTTCTCTTCCTACAGCCCCGAAAAATGTTACAATGTTTAAAGTACATCAGTTTTTTTTCAACACATTATGCAAAGCAGACAAATTATGGACTATACTTAGGAAGTAAATTACCAAAATATATTTTAAAATATGCATGCTTCTCCTTTACAAAGAAATATGAGACTGAGCCCTCAGAATATGTTACACATCTCACTGACTGTAATGGCTAAAAAAGTTATATTAGTACAGTCTCTTGTGGAAAAATATTATTCCAATGCCTTAGCTAATTTCAATATCCAAGTGCCAATCATCATCATATACCAGTGAGTAATCCTTCCAAAGGTGAGAATAAGCAAGATGGTTATGTAATCAAATGAGGAACTAAAATTATCATTGCTTCATATACCAGGTGTCCATATTTGGGGGTGACATTTGGCCCAGAAACACTGATGTTTTTTAAAAATCCAAAACAACCAGTTCTTTAGGGAAAGTTTTATTTTGGTGGATCTGTGTTTATTCCATATTTCTCCTTCAGAAGCTTGAGCTGTTCTTCTTTCTTCTTTGTATCCATTTTTTGGAATGCCTGTCACAGGACAAAGATATATATTAAAAGCAACATATTATGAATGCAAAAAACATTTAAACCAATTTCACTTTGGGAATAGATAATCTTGTGCAATTCAGATTACTTACCATCAAAATGGTTTGTGATTTAACTACACAATTCATACATGAACTTCTTGAAAACAAGTGAAATTGAGGGTAGGATATGGTATGCTACAATAATATGCTGGCCTTAAGTTATATCTTGCTCAAGTTGCCCCCCCCCAGCCCCCCATTATGCCAGTACTCCAAGAGAGAGAGACCTTATGAGTCCTCTTGTATGACTATTTGTAGGTTTGTGAAATGCTTGCGATACATGGAAGTTTGAGACCACTCATACACCACAAACAGTTAAGCTAGATAGAGTAAACAAGTTGGTAGTTGTTTTCTTTAAGGCGTTTAATTTTTATAAACCTCTCTGGAGGGCTATAGTCAAAACTGCATGAATGATCTAGTGAAAGGAGGAGAAAGTATTTGTTCCTTTTCTCTCTTTAGTATAAAACTAAGTTTTTAGAGTAGGAAATCCTTCTCTACCTGACATAGAAATCTCTTAATTATCAGCCACCCCATTCGGCAAGTCAGCAACATGTCATGTTTTACAAAAATATCCTTAACATTCACCAAAATATTAAATAGTTTTTAAGATTGATTGAGACTATTACACCATGCTACAAGCTCACTGCAGCTTTTAGCAATGAAGTATCAAAAGCTGAAAGAAATATGAAACTGAGAAGGCTAATTACTACATACATTGGCTTTTATTCCCAATGCTACTTCCATATCCAGGATTTATAATCCATAATTAAAAATAATCAAAATATAGTAAGAAAGCAATAATGCATATATACTGTAAATGGACCTTTATACAGGAGGTTGATTTTTCATTTTTTAAAGAGATTTCAGTTGTTTCTTTTTCCAGCTAACATGAATCCCAATAAAGCCTTGTATTACGATAGATTGACGGCATAATTCTGAGATCATATTTCAAAAAGGTAAGAGTAAGCAAAAGAGCGACCTGCAGGTCAATGCTATTTGATGTTAAAGTTTCAATGCTGAAGAGGAAAGATCTGTAGAATTGACTGCAGCAGCAGTGCACACATACACATACACATAATTTTTCAAACTTGACTCACAAGCCAAGCGGCACTTGCCGCTCTACACTTTAATATATCTGTGGTTAGTATTGGAAAACTGTCTAGAGCTGTTTTTCTTTATACAGAATATATAAAAATGAACAAAACACCATCTCACTTCTCTAACCAGATCCTTCAGTTTGCTACAGCTAAAATCTCCCTGGTTAGAATATCTGAAAAGGAAATTAAGGGTCCCCATAATATTCTCATCAAAAGGGAAAAAGACAGCAGAATTAAAGAATTGATATGCTTTAAGAATATACTTGCCCTGTTTGCATTGTAGTACAAAACAACAAGGTATCTATTGCACACGTTGAATCCTGACAGATGATCACAAGCATTTTTGGCATCAAAGATATCTTCATAGACTACATAGGCTGTTCCTCTCGTCTCAGGAGTAGAATAACTTGTAGAATAACAAGTTTAATGTCAGCAAACCAGTATTTTGAATCTTTGGGATGACATTTGTCATCAATACAATTCTCCTGACACTTCAGCTGATATATGAATTTACATGTGTATAAGCCAAGAATAGGCAGGCACTAGGCTTCATACAGCATCCTATCTGCAAACCTCAAATTCTGTTCCCCCCCTCCTCCCAAATTAACAGAACTAACATTTTCAGAACTTTTTATATTGGCCTAAAGATATTAAGGGATGAAATAAATAGCTTAATATTCTAGCATCCCTCTGTCCTAGTAAACCACTCCCTTAACGGGGAAAAATTCCTAGATTGAGGCAGTATACAATAGAATAAACTGAAATTATCCACTCTGGTCACTTCACAATCTGCAGCCCTAGGCAACACACAAGCTAACATTTAATCCTAAAACTGAGCAGATTGCTCATCTCTGATTTAAATACATTTTATTACTCATTCAACTGTGCTACACAATAAATCACAGACACATAATTTCCATCATATTTTGTCACACTAGCTGTAATGTAATTTGTTCGCTTTGGCTTAGGGTGATTGAGATTAGTTAC